TTTCGACAATTGGCCTCCCGGAGCGTGGTGCATCTTTAACATCAAAATTTCCGGAAATGAATCGACGAAACCAAAATTGCGCGTGATTGGCTCTTACAGTATCAGGACCATAAACACTATTCACATTTTTAGCCGCCTGGTTTGCGTTTTCGCTTTTATCGAAAAAAAACTGTAAAATCTGGCGTATTTTTTCTTTGCTGGTGTCCATTTTTGACGCGCGCTCAAACAATACTGAGTCAAGCAATCACAAAACTGTCTGAGAGGTTTTTTTAGTACAAAATCTTATCTTTCTAATGCCATCTGGCGTAATCCGATCGGACTTATACAACGCGAGAAACAAATCAGTAAAGCTCTCTATTGGAAAAATAATGGATTACTTTTTGCTAAACCTAATATTATGATATTAAGATGTTTCAAAACAATATTTTAAGGGGGAAGTCTACTGTAAAATTTTCAAAACATCAATTTTTTTGTTCATTGGCCTAAAAAATACTTTGAACCCTCTAAAATAAGGTACATTAGGTGTTATAGACGTCTAAATTTTTCTTCATTGAGATTTCGACTTTTTACCGAAGCGCTCCGAAACGCGTACCTGCGGCGGCGATTGCAAAACTTTCAAAGGGATAACAGAATGTAACCCTTACGGCGAAAATTGTATTGTCGAAAAAAAGAATGCGTTGGCCATGTCTAGAAAAGAATGGGTGCACGACTGAGAAAACTAAAAAAAGATACTAAAGGACTGGGCGGCAAAGGAAAGCTCACAGCAAAACTAATAGATGAATTTAGTGTTTATTACGGGTTAGCCATCCGAAGGAATAAAGATTCTATGCCGGATATGAAAAAGGTAATATGGGCTACGCTGAAACACAAAGCATCGACAAACGAGAAACCACAACATGAGGATTGTCCGCAGGGTGAAGACAGCTGGTGTACCTGGCAACAAGCCAAATCTCAAGGTAATCTGTTCGATTATGAACACAAACCGGCTCTCTCTAGCGACGTGCTGAAGGCCATCACATCTATATACGAAGAGCTGAGCAACGAAAATTTGTTGACACGTTGTGTTGGAGGATATACACAGACCAGCAACGAGAGCCTGAATTCGATGATCTGGTCGTTAGCTCCGAAACAAATATTCAGCGGCGTAAAAACCATCGATATTGCGTCGTATTGCGCTGCTAGCATTTTCAGTGAAGGCTACTTCAGTATCCTCAAAATGATGGACGTTATGAACATCAAAATTGGACCAAACGCCTTCAATTTATGCAACACCGTGGACGAGCGCAGAATATCACAAGCAAACGAACGGTTGTTCGACGCTTCAAAAGAAGGGAGAATGGAAGGAAGAAATGCGCGATCGGCACTCGAAGAGGATTTCTTTGAAGAAGAAGATATACTATATGAAGCAAGAATGGGCGATTAATGGTAAGAAGCTTAAAAATGATTTTTTCATTGAAAAAAGTAATGCCGAAACTTTAAACGCGTTTTTCTCGAAACTAAGTTTTTCAATACGGTGTACACGATATCTCGAGTTTTAATAAATGAATCGACTTGAAATTTTAACCACATATTCTCTGGAATAGTGTCTCTCGTCTGGCGGAGCATTTTTTTGATATCGTTTTTTGTGTAATTGTTATAAACAATAATAACATAAAATTTGGGCAAAAAAATAGAAAAAAATTTCAAGAATTTTTTTCGGCGCCAAAATTTTTTATCAACAAAATCCTATGTCAGACAAGAGTCAATACTATGTAAATGATAAACATATTTTGTTTTTTGTTTCAGATCACCCAGATGTACACCGTTTGGGCACCTAAAAAAACGGACCTGCACTTGAAGGAGTGCCACGACGGCAATTTTGAATATTTCGACTTGAAAATTTTTTTACAAATACTTGAATATATAATAAAGATGACGGTTTAATTTAATTTAATGTACGAGTCATATTTTGTTAAAAAAAAAATTANAGGCCTGTTTTTTCTTTTGTCACAGTAGACTTCTCTCTTAAAGATATTTGAAATAGAGACTTCTTACAAACTTCTTACAGACGTTAAAGAAACTTTCTTCTAACAACATTATAAGAAGTTTTTGTTATTTTAAGTAGTTTTTAAACGTTCTTAAAACATCACAATATTGTCTGAGGTGTGACTGAGGTGACCGAAGTTTGACTGTGACTGTTCCAATGTTCATATTACATAATTGAAAACCTGTTGTTTTATTTTAGAATTCTTCCCGACAGAGCACTAATGCACGTGATGGACTTCCTTGGTCTCCATTTTGTTGCAGATGATTAAGTAATATAATACATAATATATATAATATTATATATACATATATAATGAAACATAATTATTTCTCATCTTTCCCCACTCTCTCGTTTACTATCAAACATTATCTGCTTTAACATCTTTCTCAGGCTATGAAATAAAATTAAGAACATTGATCACGTTAAATTCACTCGAATCATTGAAAGCTTGAATCATTAAAATTATTAAATGTAATAAATCGATTTCCTATCTTTATGTGGCAGTGTTTGCCTTAGATTATTTTAGATTCATCTAAATGAAAATAAGATAAAAATTCGAAAATTCATCTTAAACGAAATGAAGATTATTTGACTTCTAATTTATGTAGATAAAAGATAAGATAAGGAGCGCTACTCATTTAGATAATATTTTAGATGATATTTTTATGAGAGACTTTATAAAAATTTATAATAAAAATTACGCAGATCATAAAATTGCCTAACTGATAAATAATTCGTCAACGTAATCGCTCTAAATTTAAGGATTAAGAAAAAAAAGACCAATATTCGTTGTTCACTAATCGTTTTCTAAACGCAGTCATATTTCAGTTTTTTCTATACAGCTCAAATCAAACTACTGACTGTAACGGTCAATCTGACTGGCGGTTACGACTGTCGACACTTGAAGCGCCTATCATAGTGAAGCGTCATGTAACTAGTTTATTGTAATTGATCGATTAAGAATTGGTAGTCGTAATTAGCAGCCGGGTCGGCCTTCATAATTGACAGTTTAATACGGGCTTATAGTGGATTAATCAATTAAAATAAATAGTCTGTTTTTTTTAATTGCATTACTAAATTGGTACCATACGTTAGGGTGAGATAATTATATTTTGTCTACATCTAATCTATAACTTCTAGTCTG